TATATATATATAACCTGAGGTGTATAGGCAACTCTGAGGTGTATTTGCAGCTACTGAATGAACTGAGATAAATAGAGATGCAGCCTCCCTTAATAATAAAAATTGATGTTTATTATTATGCAATTATTATTATTTATTATTTATTATTATCATTGCTATTACTAATAATAACTATTATTACTTTGCTGCTGAGGGGTGGACAGGCAATACAAACAAACAAACCTCTAATAAACCCTAAACCCTAATAAAACCCCAAAGAACAAATTGCAGTTTGCTGCACTAAGCCGCTGCTTCCCTAAACCCTAAACCCTAAACCCTAGAAAACCCTAAACCCTAGAAAACCCTAAACCCCAAGACAACAGCTCGCTGCATTTTGCTGCTCCCCCTACGCTAATAACAACCTAAGCCCAATCATCTAAACCCTAAACCCTAAACCCTGATCTAAATTGCAAACCCTAAACCCTGAAGACACACCACAGGGGCTACGCATAGAGGAAAATGTTTAGTTTAAAACAGAGCGCAGCAGCTCCTGCTGCTGTTGAAGCTGCAGTTGCTGCTGGTGTTGCATTTGCTACTGCAGTTGCAGCAGCAACACAACTGCTGCATCCACTTGTCTTTATTTGTGCTTGCAATAGAGTCGCGCCTTCCCCCTCATGTATTAATTAATCTCTTGTTGCTGTTGCTGCTGTTGCTGCTGCTGCTGCTGCTGCTGCTGCTGGATATTTGTTGAATAGGTAGGTGTTAGATGATAATAAATACATCGGCAAGCAGCAAAAGTTTTGATGAGTAGAACCTGCAGATGCACATTAAATTAGAGCTCCTTGCATGCAACAATCTTCTCCTTGCCGCAAGCAGCAAGAACAGAGACGAGAATACCCTTGCCGTCTGCAAACAAAGACTTAATCTGCTGCGCAACTTCATCAAGATTTCCTTCAGAGTCCTTCGGCAATGTGAGGTCGCTCTTTAAGTCGCCGCTTTCAAGAAGAAGAGAAACAAAACCATCATCAGAGACATCAATTAATTGATATTCTGTCCTTTTAACATTCGGCACCTCCATATTATGCGATGTCGGACATATATCTTCATACTTCTTGCCTGTAAAGATATCTAAACCTACTATATGAGCCTTTGCATGCCCGTGCTTCCCTGTCTTTGATGTTGAATAGTCTACAACTTTACAAGGATTACCCTTCAGCATACAGAAACCGTTCTTCTTTATTGACCCTGCTTGCATAGGGTACGTAAGAGACGCACCCGCATCTGCAGTTTCAAACGTAACGTCTTCAGCGTCAGACATCTTCACAACAAACTAAAAATATAAATTTATTCTATACCCAATTCAAACGCTATAATCTACACAACTTTGCTGCTACACCCGCAGGCCAAGAGCAGCACCAACCCCAGCAACAGCAGCAGCAGCAGCAGCAGCAGCAGCAGTGCGCGATCTGACAAGCAGACACACACAAATAGGATTGTAAATACAGAAACAATCACAGCTTCAAAAGATTAGGGGACTATTACCCTAATCTAAACACATAAAAACCCCTTCAACAAACACCAAACTATACACCCGACCCATCAGAGCACATGTGGGGAGCGGGGGGACGCCTGAGCAGCGGCAGCCACCAGCCAGCTGCTGCTGCTGCTGCAGCAGCAGCAGCAGCGACAGCTGCGGCCCCAAAGCCACCATCAGCACAGCACCCTTGCAGCAAGCACCCTGTGGGGCATCTTAAACAACCAGCAGCCGCTCTTACTGGGGCCCTCCTTACTGTTGCTGCTGCTGCTCGTCCTGCTGCTGCCAACTGCTGCTGCTGCTGCTGCTGCTGCTTGCCTTGTATTGTATGAGGCACGATTCTGCATGCGATATAATCAAACCACTCTCTATAACTATTCCCTTCATCCGTTAGATATATTTTTATTTTGTCTTTATTGATTTATTTCTATGTATTTGCTGCACTCTTTTGTTATTACTGCTCTTAGAAAGATAAAGCGCTGCGGAGCTCGGCCTGACTAAGTGCTGCCCGTTGTTGCTGCTGCTGCAACTCCCTTTGAACATAGTTATAAGTCTTTAGTTAATATCGAGGAGCTTGTAGATTGACATTTCTTCTTCTTGCTTATTTTAAAACCCTTAACTTAATCTTATCTCCTTAGGATATTCCAGCGGCACCGCCTCACGCTCCTGTAGAGAAGGCACACCTGCTGTTTGTTGTTGTTAGTCTCGCTGCAGCCAGCAGCAGCATCATATGCAGCAACAGCATTAGCAGCAGCAGCAGAATCAACAGCAGCAGAGCCAGCAAGGGTAGCAGGTACTGCTTCGGTGGTGGTCTCCCCCTCGCCATGGCTGCGGACAGCTCCCTGCTGCAGCTGGAGGAAGTAATCGAGGATGATGCTGCGCCGACCTCTGCTGCAGGAATTGGCTGCTCCTCTTCAAGCAGCAGCAGCAGCAGCAGCAGCAGCAGTGCCCCGTCAGCTGCGCTGACTGAGGCAGCATCTCGATCTGCGGCGATTGCCGCGGCAGCGCAGGCTGCAGCTCTGTCCGAGCGTTGCCGGTCCCTTCTGCCGTTGCTAAAGGCAGCAGCGGATGCAGGGGAGACGAAGAGCAGTAGCAGCAGCAAAAGCAACAGCAGCAGCAGCAAGGAGTGCCGCAGCACAGCGGGAGACGGGCAGGGCGCTGCAGTGACTGCTGGGGGGCTGCTAGAGTTTGACTCCGATGCAGAGGAGGGGCCAGTGGTGGAGTTAGGTGAGCGCAGGTGTTGTTAGTTTCTTTTATTGCTTGTTGTTTGTTCTTCGTAGCTGCTGCATCTACAGCGCTGTCCCCCGGAGAGAGTGGCTTCCGCTGCTCCTCATGCTGCTACTGCTGCTGCTGCTGCTGCTGCTGCTGTGTGCATGCAGACGTCGGTGTGGGGCTGTTTGACGTGAAGGGACAGCTGCCCAGCGACGCGCGGTTGGCTGAGATGGGGATCCAAGTCGTCGATGTGCCGCAGGAGTCTCCTCTGAATGAGGTGAGCTCTGTTTCTGCTGCTGTTCCCTTAGCAGCAGGGCTAGTAATATTGCTGCGCTTCCTCCTGCTGCTGCTTCCTTTACTGCTGCTGCTTTTGCTGCAGAGGCTGTTATGGGCCGGGCATGCGTTTACGGGGTTGTATATTGTTCTCGCGAATTGTCTACTGCTGCTGCATCTCCTGTTGCTACATTTCTTTTGCCTCTGCTGCAGATGAATTCGGCGCATGCACAGCCCCCCATGGACGCCTTGCAGCGAGCCCTCGCAGCGCGGCTTCAATCTAGCAGCAGCAGCAGCAGACCAGTGATCACCGTGTTGTCCAGTGGCAGCAGCAGCAGCGATGAAGAGGGAGACAGCGACGAGGACACGAAGGGCTAATGAGCTTTCTAGGGACCCTCTCTTAAAGAGAAAATCTTAAATGCAGTTAAAAATACTGGGAAGACAGAGAATCAAAGAAACATTTTTTAAAGTTGCCGTACCCGACCTTCGGAGAGAAGGGGCGGCGAAGCAGTACTTGAGTTCTTTTAAGTTAGGCGGCCTCCAGGCGGCCAGCGCATGCAAACCAGCGAATTTTGAATATGCTGTTGGGCGCATGCATACCCGGTGTATGTGCACATGAGCTTGGGGTGTAGCTTCAAAGCAAAAGACTGAAGCTGAAAAAGCCTCAGCTTACACCCAAAGGAACTCGCTGTTCTGAAGAACAGTTGGTGTTCGCTGCCCCCGCAACGAGCAGGGAAGGGCACTACAGTAGACATGAAGTATAGCAGCAGAGAGGCCAGACATACACCAGGCATGAGAAAGCTACTGTGCTTTACGCACAGTAACACCTCCCCATCCTGTAGCCTTCTACGGGAGACAGACAAAAAATATGCAGGTGCCCCCCCAGCCAGCGGAAACACCGGCCGGCGCGGTGCAGTACGCTGCGGGAGGAGAGCAAGCCCTCACTGTTAACAAATCAGCACTTGCTCTTGCTGCCTGTACACTTTGAAGAGAGAGCGTGGCTGCATCTATTACTTGGGCACCGGGTTAAGCCACTGTCCTCCTTGGCCGTAAGCAGCAGCGACGATCTGGGCGGCTGAGAATTCGCATTGAGCAAAACAAACAGCATCAGCAACGAATGTGCGTCTTTGCTTCCGCATGCGCTGATGTCTGAAATCATAATAAGGGAAACGGGAAGAAGGCAAGATAATAAAGAAAGACTTCAAAACAGAAGTGTACAGAACTTACTCTTCTTCTGCTTCCGAACCATATACGTCATGTGCCAAACCTTGTAGCCTCCGTAGAACACAAGTCCCATCCCGAGGGGATTCGCCCACCACCAGCGGCGATATTCAGAGCTGCGATGCACCAGAAAGAAGAAGAGAAAAAAACACGGTAAGCGCAAGGGGCTCACAAGCCTCTAATTGTGCTTCAAGTGGAAATCAATTCGTGAATATCCACCTTGACTACCATCAGATGATGCACAGTAAGGTCTCTGCACTGCAGCGAGGAGGAGGAAACATGAAATTAAAAAAAAAACAGATCAATTGGAGATACAGAGCTGTATTTCATATTGCCGAATAGGGGAAATATGAAAGCTGGAAGCATATCAATTGATCAGAAGGAAAAAAGAAAGAACTGGCTCTAAGGAGCAGCTTCGAAAAGCAATGTAGAAGAAAAGAAGTGAATGAAACTTCTGCCACAGAATATGCCTGAACGCCTGAGGTGTACAGACAGCTGGATTTTCGTGCAAATGCGGATCAGGCGTCCAAGTTGAACTATCCGAAAAATTCAGCTTTCCGTGGATGTGTGATCTCACACGCGGCCGATTTGAGCGAATTGTTTGTTTGTCCATTGCATCATTTGTTCTGCAACATCTGAAAACTGTTTGCCTTCCAGCTTATGCCACTGGTGTTTCCAACGAACGGGGTTTATCGCGCGCCCCGCCATGGCGACGTAACTCTGGATATGAAACCCCATTTTCCTTTAAACACGAGATAGTCTTGATTTAAAATGTCTTATTATCACTTTAATTATTAAGAAGAAGGAAATAAGAAGGACTTCAAGAGCCCTCCCCTGGGAACGCCGTCTTCAGCCTCTCGGTGGCGGTGGGTTTCAGAAGTTGCAACCCCCCCATAAAACAAATAAGTGGCTTCAATACAACAAATATTTGAAGCTTCTTCATGCAGAAAATACCCCCTAAAGCCCCAACTCCACACATTGGCGCATGCATGCACGTATAGCGTTGGCAGCCGCCGCCGACGGGCATTCTTTTTACCCTCCACAAAACATATAAATAAATATATATATATTCACATTCGTGTAAAACAGCTCAACACACGAGTATTTTGTTGTTAAGTGTAACCTCGTTTGCAACAGCGATGCAGAGGTCTTCTTGCCTGTTGGTAGGCCTTGGGGGTTCAGCGTTGGTGCTGCTGCCTCTGCTGCGCAAACAACGAGGCTGAGCTTTTGAAACTAACAGTAACAAAAGTCAGTCTGTCGCCTCTCAATAACAGGAAGTCTTTCGTAATCGAATCCCCCAATAGTGTATATATATATAGTTACATATATTCAGGCACGCCTCCGTATATGCGTGTGTGCGATGCATATATATATATATATATATATATATATATATATATATATATATATATACATGTTTGTTGCAAGAAAGGTATACTTTAAAGGGAGATAGGCATGAGACAACAAAACATTATTAGTTCAAGCTGTCCTCTGCGAATGTTGGGTTAAAAGCGACGAGAAAAGAGTAAAGTATATTTCCTAAATATATTTTCTTTTTGACTTCCAAATAACAAAGTTGTGAATATCTATGCGCGTTTTTGTGCTGCCAAGCAGAGCCTTCTGCTGCCTCCCCATTCTCTATATCAATCATGTTTCCTTGCATATAAAAAATAAATAATATATATATATATATATATATATATATTATATATTCCTCTCTGTATGGATATTAGCAGCAGCAGCAGCTCTCTTGGGTGCTGAAGTGCATCTGCATTTATTGTTTGTGCATTTCCTGCAAATGTTTGGCTGAGCTGCGCCACCAACAATTTACCAAATGCCTTCACTCCTACAAAAAATGCCTCTGCTCCTGCTCCCATCGTCATACACAGGACACATATCTACATATATATATATATATATATATATGTATATATATATATATATATAGATATATAGATACACATATATATATATATATACATATATATGTATATATATAGTATAATATAAAGTACTTAGAATACACGCAGATGATATATATTATTCCTCTGGAAAATAAAGTGTATACTATATAGATGTATTATATCTAGTATACATATAATATATACGCTATATATATTATATATCCTATACTATATATATGCATATATATACATATATGCATATATATATATATATACATATATATAAACAGGCTGAGGCAACTACAGGGAGTACTGCCAATTGAAGGAAGTGGTGAAGACCGACTGCGTTATTTGTTTGTCTGTCTCTGTTTTAAAATTGCAGTGAGAGACGCTCTATAATACATTATACTATATTATTTTTTATTATGTAATAAAATATAATGTATTCTATTATATTATTATAATATAATTTATTATAAAAACAGAGAGCGCAGAGACAGCAGCAACTGAGTCTCTGATGTCCTGTATAATATAATAATATAATATTATATTATTATCTTATCCAATAATATAATAACCCCGCTTCCTCGTCCTCTTCTTTTGTATTTATTATTTAAAACCCTGTTCACTGTTCTTATAAGAAGAAAACTGCAGAGAGATGTAAATAAGAAAAAACTAAGACAAAAAACAAACAGCTGACGCCGCACTGCTGCCCCCAGGCCGCCATCAGTGAGGCAGCAGCTAATTGCTACCTGGGGTACAGCAGCAGCAGCAGCAGCAGCAGCAGAATCTCCACCTGCTGCTGCCGCTGCTGCTGCTGCTTGTGCTGCTGCTGCTGCTTGTGCTGCTGCTGGTGATGCTGCTGGTACTGCTGGTGCTGCTGCTTTTGCTGCTGCTTGTGCTGCTGTTGCTGCTGCTGCCGCTGCTTCTGCCGCCGTCATTGTCTTCCCTCTGCAGCAGCAGCTCGCTGGTGTCTATAGCCTATGGTTGTATAAAGTATTAAAAGTATATATTTGTTTTGCTTCCTTAATGCAAATATATCTTTTTAATATTTTTCTATATGCAGCAAACCCTTTTGTAGCAGCACTACGCAAACACAAAAGGCTTCAAAGCAATCCTTACAAGGCAGAGAAGCTACCTGCAGCACAAGCAGCAGCAGCAGCAGCAGCACAAGAGACAGCATTCTAATAATAGGCGAAAGCAACAACAGGCTGCGTAGGAGACACTCGTATTGCTAGAGACCGCAGCGAAGAGACAACGACATCCAACCACACAGCAGCAAAAGAGACAGCAGCAAAAGAGACAGCAGCAAAGAGACAGCAGCAAAGAGACACAGCAGCAATGGATACAGCAACAAGAGACACAGCAACGATGGGGACAGCAGCAAAAGAGACAGCAGCAAAGGGGAGAGCAGCAAAAGAGACAGCAGCAAAGGGGACAGCAGCAAAGAGACAGCAGCAAAGAGACACGGCAACAATGGAGACAGCAGCAGAGGAGACAGCAGCAGAGGAGACAGCAGCAGAGGAGACAGCAGCAAAGAGACAAACCTCTACTGTCTTCCCAGTAGCGAGGGTCCTGATGAGGTTTGCTGCAGTCGAGCAAATCGGCAGCCTCAAGCTGCAGCAAGGAGACAAACAGCAGCAAGAACGAAACAGAGACAGATATACACCTGCGCCTCCCCTAAACCCTAAACCCTAAACCCTAAACCCTAAACCCTCCTCACCTTGCAGTGCCCTTTGTGAAGATCGCTGCGTCGCTGTCCTCAGCGCACACGCATTGAATACCTGAAGAGACAAGCATTTGTCTGTAAAGACAGTTTATTAATCTTTAAATAATAATTAATAATCTGTCTTTGTCTTTAATAATAATATGTCTTTAAATAATAATCAATAGTCTGTCTTTGTCTTTAAGGAAATGCTTGCATTTAAAGAGGAGCACCAATATTAGTCTGACTTTAAATAAGAATAATAATAATGTCTTTAAATAATAATAATAATATTTAACCGTCTTTAAACAATAATAATAATAATAATATTAATATGTCTTTAAATAATAATCAAAAGGAGGAGACAGCACCGTGGCAGCCGACTGCCCCCGCTCTGTACGCCTTAGGGTTTAGGGTTTAGGGTTTAAGGTTTAGGGTTTAGGGGTACCGTCCTGAAGCCTGACGAGGGAATGCCATCTAAGAGGGGTTTGCGAAGGCACTTGCTGCACTTCTTTATATTGAGATCGCTGCATTACCTCTAAGCTGCTCATACACCCCAACACACAGCAGCAGCAACAGCACCATCAGCAGCAGCAACAGCAGCACCGCCATCAGCAGCAACAGAAGCAGCACCATCAGCAGCACCATCAGCAGTACGACCGCCATCAGCAGCAGCACCGCCATCAGCAGCAGCAACAGCAACAGCAGCAGCAGCAGCAGCAGCAGCAGCAGCAGAAAATTCTCACTCTTTGCCGTGCGCCTGACTTGCAGCAACGAGGTTTTGATAACTGAGCTGTTTTATTACTTCATTGTGCAGCTGCTGCGTACATTCCTGTCTTTGCTGCTCTGCTGATGCAGCCTCAGCACCGAAAGCAGCCCCCTGCACACACAAACCCTAAACCCTAAACCCTAAACCCTAGACCCTAAAACCCTAACACTAAACCCCTAAACCCAAATTCTAGAACCCAAACCCTAAATCCTAAACCCTGATACTCCTTCCTCTTTCACAAATTCTACACCCCACACCCTAAACCCTAAACCCTAAACCCTAAACCCTAAACCCTAAATCCGTGCCTTTATGATTGCTGTTCTTGCGTGTTTTTCGTTGGCCTCCAGCAATCGGTGTTGCGTCATCAGTCGTTTAATAAGCCGAGACATCATCACCCCCTGTACACCCCAAACCCTAAACCCTAAACCCTAAACCCTAAACCATAATCCCTGCACACGAGCAAATGCAGCAAGAAGAGTCAAAAGACAACCGCTCCAACAGCTGCTGCAGCTGCAGCAGCAGCAGCAGCTGCTGCTGCTGCTGTTCATGCGGCTGGCCCTCCACCAGAAGCAGCAGCGGCGAGGTTTTAAGGTTGAGCCTAGGGTTTAGGGTTTAGGGTTTAGGGTTTAGGGTTACATGCGAGAACTCCGCAGTGGGTATTGTTATTGTCAAGTGCAGCGACGGCTCATCACCAGTCGTTGCGCTGTGCGCCATCCTGAAGATGCAAAACCCTAAACCCTAAACCCTAAACCCTAAACCCCAAACCCTAACCCCGAGAAAGGAAGCGTCAGCCTCAGATTGACTAGCAGTGTGCAGACAGGGCGCAAGGAGGCCGTTGATGGAGCGTAGCAACATCCTAGATCAGGGTTTAGGGTTTAGGGTTTAGGGGGGTACCCTCTGGGTATATAAAGGATGTCTCCAGCATTCAGCGTGAAAGTCGTTGAGGGCCCCAAGTCCTGCAGCAGCAGCAGCAGCAGCAGCAGCAGCAATAGAGCAGCAATGGCAGCAGCAATGGCAGCAGCAATGGCAGCAATAGAGCAGCAGTGGCCGCGACAGCAGCAGCAATCGAGCAGCAACAGAAGCAGCAGCAGTAGCAGCAATAGAGTAGCAATGGGAGCAGCTGTAGCAGCAGCAGCAACAGCAGCAGCAATAGCAGAGAGCGATCGAGAGAGACAGAAGAGAGAGCCCGAAATAAATAAAAAGAATCAAAAGGAGATAAAGAAAGACAAAGAGAGACAGACAGAGATGGAGACACAAACAAAAAAACAAAGAGAGACAGATAAAAGGAGACAGATAAAAGGAGACAGATAAAAGGAGACAGATAAAGAGAGACAGATAAAGAGAGACAAAAGGAGACAGTCTCCTTACCTGTGCATCTGTATGCTCTCGAACAGTAAAAGAATTAGGCGGGGTTAAATATCCAACAGCAAAGACATGATAAAAATATAACTCTGCAAGTCTTAAACAAAATGAAAATAAAAGAGGAGAACTCCGATCTGCCTGATTTAATATATATGAAGCAGACATCAGATAAGGTCGCAGCAACTGTACCCATGCACCTAAAGGGGGCCCCTTTGGCCCCCCAGAGGGCCCCACAGATGGGGGCCCCCCAGAGGGCCCCATAGAAGGGGGCCCCCCAGAGAGCCCCATAGATGGGGGCCCCCCAGAGGGCTCCATAGAAGGGGGCCCCCCAGAGGGCTCCATAGAAGGGGGCCCCCCAGAAGGCTCTGTAGAAGAAGGGGCCCCCGAGGGCCCCGTAGAGGGGGGCCCCCCAGAGGGCTCCACAGATGGGGGGCCCCCAGAGGGCCCCAAAGAGGGGGGGCCCCCAGAGGGCCCCAAAGAGGGGGGGCCCCCAGAGGGGCCCCCCTCTGTTGAGTGTGGGGTGGAGACAGGAGGAACAGGAGGAAGGAGGTCTTGAGTAAAAGGAGAGCCTTCCTAAGTGCAGCAGCAGCAGAAACAGCAGCAAGAGACAGTTAAAGATAAACAGATAAAGAGACGGAAAGATAAACAAATATATTTAAAAAACAGATAAATAGACATTATAAAGATATATAAAAGGAGGTAAATAAACAAGCAAATACAAAAAATATATTCTTTGTATGCCCGCCTTAAACAAAATAATACATAAAGATATATAAACAAATACAATAAAATATATAAATAAAGATATATAAACAAATATAAAATATATAAATAAAGATATAAACAAATTATATACTCTCTATATTCACCTTAAACAATGCGAGATTGCCCGCAGTAAAAACCCTGTGCACCATCTCAGCGAAGACAGACTGAAAACAGACAGAAAAAATTAAATAAATAAATTAATGACTAATTTATAATTAATTTATAATTAATTTATAATTAATTTATAATTAATTTATAATTAATTTATAGTTAATTTATAATTAATTTATAATTAATTTATAATTAATTAAATATAAAAATAAATTCGTAGTTAATTAATTAAATAAAAAATAAAAAAATTAAAATAATTTCTTCAAATGAATAATAGACATAAAATAAATAAAACAAATTAAATTAAGTTAAACAAATTAAGCAAAATAAATTAAATAAATAAATTAAATTAATTAATTAAATAAATAAATAAAACAAAATAAATTAAATTAAACAAATTAAGAAAA